GAGTGTCGGGCCCCTGCCGTGTGTGGGGGGCTGCACTGCCTTGCCACCCCCCAGCCAGCTGAAAAGCAGGAAGCTCACAGTGGCTTGTGCTGCCTAGTGTGCTCAAAGACTTGTGGTGTGAGAAAACCCTAAGACAACAGCAGTTTTGGCTGCCTCTGGCTCCCCTGAATTGCTCTCTTTCCTCTCAGTAAACCAGAGTCTAAGCACCCTGCTGGGCCTCCTGGTTGAGCCCCTCTGGAAACCAGAGCCGGGTGACTCTTGGTAGCATTAGTTGGCAGCTGGGGACCCTCCACTTGCCGACCTGCTGCACATACTGGGCTCAAAGCCACAGGGGCTGGCGGGGGAAGGAATCTGCCAGCTGGCACCCGCAGGGAGGGTGTTTCGGTAAGGCTACGCTGGGACACCTGTCCTTCCAAAGCCAGGGCAACAGGCTGCCCCCTGACTGGGGCCTGCATGCACGCAGTGCAACCCTGCAGCTGGGCGGCAATGACAGCTAGCTGTGCTTGCCTCGTGGGGGCCTGGCTTGTGGGGCTCCTCATGGCAGCTTGGGAACTGCACACCACCCTGTGGAGCAGAGACAGGGCTAGGCCAGCAGTCCAAGGGCACGGGGCTGGCAGGAAGGTGAGGGACATAAAGGTGCCAGGAGAAGAAAGACAGGCGAGGACGTTCCTTTTCCACACACTAACACTGCCGAGGTTGTCTGAGCTATGACTCCCTTCTTGCATATCAGTGACTGGCAGGAGCTGAACATTTTTGGACCAACTAAGGAGTGAATTGGGCTCTGAGCAATGCAGATAAAATCCTGACCAGCCTCTGCTCCACTGGCTTTCCCTTGTGCTGGTTTCCTGGAAGCTTTTGCATCCAGCTGTAGTATGCATGGCCTCAAAGGAAGGAGTGGGAAATCCTGGCCTCCCACAGTCCCTATCCAGGCTCAGATGCCTTGTGTGGTCTCCTTTTCAGGGTCCAGGCTGCATGCTCCATAGTTAACTCCATCCTCTCCAAGCAGCTCCCCTTTTCCCAACCTTTCCGAAAGCTCATAGCCTGGCATTTAAGAGAAGACCCCCACTCTGCCACCAGCCTCGGTTCATGGTAAGAGGAAGGTCAGCTCAGCAGCGACTCCAAAGCTCACGGATAGCGATGAAATATGGGCGATGCTAGTGTGCCTCAGTACTAAGTGCACCAGTCCAGAGGCAGTCTTACCAGCTCCAGTGAAGCAGCACATACAGCACTAGGGAAGCACTGGGGACAGTGACAATTTGAACGACTCCAGCTGCTTGCAAAGTAACCCCACATCACCAGTATCCAGGAACAGCCTTCAGCAAACTCTGACCAGACCCAAGGCTCTGAAGAGAGTGAGCTGCTGCACAGATGTCCCTTTGGCAGAGGCTGGGCCCGAGCGTCCCTGTCCCACCCCATTCCTGCCGAACAGGATGGTTCCTACTCCCGCGCACAGCTGGGTGCTGAGTGCCGACTACTCCTCTGCTGCAAAATAAAAGGCCGGGAGCCACACGCAGCAGGCGGCCTCCCTTCCACCCACACCACACTACAGCGCACGGGATCTGGCTGCCCAGGCACCACCACGTGGGGCCTCGATAGATGCCCAGCTCTGCCCTCACCACCGCCCGGGACATCCCGCGGGGCAGCGCTGCCCCCTCCTGGCAGCCCAGCCCCAGCCTGCTGTAGGGCACGTTGACACAGGCAAAGATACAGGGGTCCCTCCTCAGGAAGGGGAGTTCACATTCAGGATTATCTTGGCAATGAATAACGAGTCTTGTTCTTGAAGATCACCGCTCTCCTAAACCTCTGGGACGTTGTGCTGCTCCTGCAGGTGGGCACTAAGCCCCAGAGGCAACGGAAGACAGAAATGAGGTTGCAAAGCCCAGGTAGTGCTGAACACCTCCATACCAGGAGCAGGGCCTGGTGTTGCTCCTCCACTTATGTTCAAGAGAAGCAGCAGATTCCAGCCTCTCATCCACCCACTACACCAGGCCTGGCAGCCATCTAGTGCCCCTTGCTCACGTGCTGCCATACTCACGTATCTTTTTATGCCTAGGCTGCTGTGGAAGCACATTACGCCACAGCTTGAAGTTGGACCCATCTCCCGCCTTCCCTGCAGTCCTCCTCTGCTCTACCGCCCTCCTGCCAGAGCAGGCCCAGTCCAGGCCAGGAAGACCCCAGCACCACAACACCCAAGGAGACACAGCCCTATCCCTCTAGGCATGGTCTGGGCCATGTTTCTGATAGAGCTCTGTTTATTATTTTGAGTACACAGTGAGCAAGGTGAAAAAGCAGTTTTGCCACTGAGGCAGAGTGGTTATTGCTTGAGGCACGTTCTCCAGCAAGGACAAGGGCATGGAAGAGACGAAATGTCTTGCCTATATGTTACGGGGCAAAGGATGTGCCTTTACCCATAGCTGAACTAGGGCCACCCCCTTACCACAGCAGAAAAGGTGATAGGAGTGGAGGAAAGTGCAAATCAGTTTGCACAGCAGCCCAAGGTAGCAGGGTAGTACAGCAGTGGGTGATGATAGTGTAAAGGATGGAAACATTTGTGAGCAGTAGAAATCTGCCCCGAGCTAACCCCATCCCTTCCTGATGAGCAGAGCTCCGCTCTGCTCCATAGCGGGTAGCTCTCTCGGGGCACCAGACCCCTGCCCTGGCCTTGCCGAGGGCTGAGGGGGTAGAGCGGCAGGAAGGAAGGCGAGAGGGCAGGGCCAAGTGCCCACCATAGCTCCAGTGCTGGCCTCAGCAAGAGAGGAGGTGAACCTGTTGCTGCGGAAAGCAGTGGCACTAGAGTGCTGGCACTCCTGGGCCCATATGGGAAGAAATGCCCAGTGCACTGTGTGAGGGTGTCATATAATCACATGGTAAGGGAGCCCCCAAACATTCAGTGCTTAAGTTGAGATAAAGAAAGGGGGAATGGATATGTGAGGCATGTGTTCAAGGCCACACAAAGGGGAGTCTGGGAGAGGAAGAACCAACTGAGGGTGTCCTGATGCACCCCGGATCCCACACTTTGGTTATGCTTATCCTTTAGAGAGTCCTTAGTGGTGAGGCCTGCCCTCTGCTGGAGTGGTGTACTACATGGTGATGGTCCCAGCATGCAGGTATCAGCAGCAACGGGACAGCACTGGAGCTAGCAACACCAGTCATCTCCCCCCTCACCCCACCGTGTCTCCCCAAAGGTCCACCGGCTTCCTGCTCTGCAGCCACACTTAAGCCTGCTCCTTCACTTGCCTCCCCCATGGTTGCTCTAAAGCCAGGTACAGTGACACACAGGCACTCCCATGCTGCCTGCCCTCCTCTGGTTCTGGGGTGGGGATAGAGGAGGGGGAAGAGTGAAAAGCAACCCAGCCCAGAAGAAGAGAAGAGCAGCCCTCCTGCCTGCCTTGAACCCTGCAAGGTGGTCCACAGGAGATGGTGGGGTGAGTCTTGCTGAGAGGCAGGGCAAGGCTGGTGGGTGGAGCAAGGTAGGGTAAAAGTATCCTGTGTCCATGAATCCAAGAGGAGGCACTTGGATTGGGCCGGACCAGCTGGGGTGGCCTAGCTGCAGTGAATCTGTTGTGGCTCTTAGCCGCACATCGTCAGCAACAGCCACTGCAAAAGAAAGAGAGAGAGTATGAACAGGGGTGTCAGACTACCAACATCTTGATAGCCCTCGAAGGGAAATGGAGCCTCTCAAAGTCTCTTGATCTTTCAAGGGCTCTTACCTTACCCAAGTGGGTGGAGGGCTTCCTACCTCCTGAGCCCAGGCCTTAGCCCCAGTTCCCTGCACCCTCTGGACCCGCTGCCCAGAGCTGCTGGGTTGAGCTCTCACCTCAGAAATGTTCATCACGGCAGTGCCAGTGCCCTCGGGGTCCATACTGCGGAAGAACCCTGTAGGCCAGAAGCAGCAGCTGAGCAACATGCCCTTCTCCCCTTTTGCCCTCCCTATCCTGAAGCTGGAACTTACTGAACATGGCCTCCAGCTTGACCAGGCAGCAGACAAAGTTGTCAAAGTCCACACCCATGTTGGAGTCAGCGTAGCGGGCCACCACCACCTGATGCAGCTTATTGTTCAGCTTGAAACCTGAAAGTCAGAGAGCAGCCAAAACTTGGGGAGGCCTAGAGAGAAGGATGTGACCCCCAAAGCCCCTATCCCAGGGGAAGGGCTGAGCCCAGACTTGGCAGGAAGAGATGCTCTCTGCAGAGCTGCAGACCATTGCTTAATGAGCAGTTAAAATTTGGATTAGATCCTGTAAGTCAAGGAGGGCAGAAGTTGGGACCACTGTGCCTGGATACCTGACTTCAAGGCTGCCAGCATTCAGCATGACTGCCCCAGAGGGATGGACCCCAGCTCAGATCCAATCCCACTACCACAACAGATGCAGAAAGTATGCAAAGGTTGGCCTCACACTTCTGCACTCTTTCACCCCCAGCCCAGGCTCATCCTCCTCTACACCTACCTGCCGACTCTAGAGCCATGCGCATTTCATATGAGCTCATGGTGCCTGATTTATCCAGGTCGTGCTGACGGAAGATGCTCTGCAAAAAGATCACAGCGGCTGTAAAGGGCAGGCTTTTCCCCTCTCCGTTCTGGCTGTTCCCTCGCAGTGTTTCCAACTGCACTATGCGTTGTCCCCCCTCTTCTTACCAGCCAGCTCCGAATTTTGTTCCACAGGATCTGGAACTCCACCAGCCCAAGACGGGCACTGCCATCTTTCTGGAGAGCCATGGATTAAGGAAAAAAATGAGCCAGCCAAAGGGGTGTAATGAAAGGTAGGTCTTGAGGCAAAGCAATCAGATCCCAACTGCCTTGGTTGAGAAAGGACATTTTAGCCAAACCACATTCAATCTGGTCAGTTTCTTTTTGACTTCCCCTCTCCTTCCTGTACCACAGAAGCAGAGCCTGCAACCCATCAAGGAAAACGTGATGCTTAAGATGCCTCTTATGCCTCTTCCCAGAAAGGGCTGCACATCTGCTTTGCACAGTACTCTGCAGCAGGGTTGTCAGAGCAACAGCACGCTGGCATGCAGCTAAAAGGGTGTTGCAGGGCACTTTTAACCACCAGTCAAGAGGATTTTGGTAAGAGGACACCCTCTCTTCCCTTTCTAGGAATGCCTCAAATCCTGTGTGGTGTCATAGCTTATCGTCCTAGGGTGAAGCAGGACCTCTGCCTGCTATTCGCGAACCCATGGAGAAATGAAGCATCAGGTCCAGAAGGGAAGGTTGAAAGCACGTGTATGGCTCTGCTGGGGTTCTGGCAGCAGACAGGGAGCAGGCCAGGGCCCAAAACAAGAGAACTCACATTCTGTCCAGGAAACCAGCTACTGCAGCTCAGGTGGTGTACAGAGCTACAGGCTAACTCTGCAGGTGTACATAATAGACATCTCTGAAGCCCCTGTGGGGCAGTCACGAGGACTTTTCCTTCCCCTGCTGAAAGAGCCAGGCCAGACCCCTCCTCAGCTCCTGCAGAGGAGTTTCCCTGCAGAACGACTGAGCACTAAAGAAGCCGGCCCTTGCCCTCAGCGCTAAGAGGATACATCCATCAGATTGACCATATTTCGGCAAGAATCCAGGCTGAATCCATCTGTCTTCAGATCTTTGTCTGAGAAGGAAATGAGGACGATTACGCACATTAAAACACAACCCGTCAAACAGGCCAGGGCTATGTAGAGAAAAAGCAGTACTTACGTCTAGCAATTACTCTGTTCAGGATAGTCTTGAGCTCAAAGACACTAATTTCCATGTCCTGCAGTGAGAACAGAGTTAGCAAACCCCTTGCCTGCACCCACTACTTCTGCTTCTCCCAGCTGGGCTGGAGGGTTTCTCTTCAGTCCACTTGTGGCCCTACCTTTGCTGCCCAAACACCTCCATCTTATTCACAAAAGACCAGGGTGCTACGAAGTTTTCTGCACACACAGAATGGTTCAGGCCACAGCTGGACTCCCTTTCCCCAAATCTGCTCCAGAGAAGCCACCCCTGTGGGGAGCTGGGCCTGCAGCACTGCGACTGAGTGAGCTTGTGGCACATTAGATCTCACTGGCTGAGAAGAAGTAGGTGTCATCAACCAACCCAAGGATGTCCAAGAGCCTCCACGACTCACCTTAGGGAACCCTCTACTCTTCCAGTCTTTACAGCATTAGCAGACAGAGTCCTGTCCCTTCCCCACACTTCCCAAAGCTTGGCGCAGCCATACTCACCTCTCCTGCCAGCTGCTGGAACATATTCTTGAAGCCATCTTCTATGTCATCTTCAGAAATTTCCTCCTGAGGTGACACAAGCCAGAGAACAAGATTATCAAACAAAATCTGGCACAGCCCTGCTCCTGAGCAACTCCTTAGCAAACTCATACAGGAAGAGAGGCTCTCGCCATCTTCGTTCCCTCCCACGTCCCCCTCACCTTTACACCTCCAGCTACCAGCCCAAACCCATGCAGTTGGCTCCTGCTCACAGTTCCCATTTCCTCTAAGCCCCAGAGCCTTGGCACTGACTGAGTGAGAGTTGTGGGTCTTACCTCATCCCCTAGATCAGCCGAGATCTCCTCGTCCAGCTCCCTGAGGCACAAAGGGGGAAAAGAGAGATGAGAGCGTGCTGGGAAGCCAGGCAGCAGGCTGTCTTCAGAGGAGGGTTCTCCCACAGCTCAGGGGTCCCCCTTGCCCAGGCAGGCTGGCCTGTGCTGCGACATCCCCCTGGCCAGACCCAGGGCCGAGATGCAGCAGGAGGCTTTGAGAAAGGGACTCACTCTGTGTCCGACTGCTTCTCGGTGAAGACCCGCAAGACGAAGTCAGCCTCCTTGTGTGGCTCGAAGGTGGAGGGCACTATGATGTACTCTCCAGGAGGCAGCCGGATCTGGTTGCTCACCTCCCGCAGGTTGATGAAGGTCTCAGATCGTGCCCGCGACTGGTTTCGCAGGAAGAAGTCTTTCTTCATGTGCACATTTTGGCAGCCCTGGGCCTGGGGGAAGTAAATGCACCCATGGACAACAGCTCAGCCAGCAGTCACAAGAGGGGGGTTCGCAGGAGCAGGGTGACCAAAACTTGCGCACTGGGGGAGAACCTGCCCTAGTCAGTCAGCTCAGCAGCTCCCGCTGTAATGGTTCAGCCCTGCTTGGCTCTGCATTGTGGAACAAGGTGACACCCTAGTGGCATGTTCACACTGTGGCCCAGCCTCACCCACACGGCACACTGAGTGGGTAGGGAGGCCTGGTCCCACTGCCCCAAGCCCAGCAGCTGCTCTGTGAGAGCTCCTCATGGTCCTGCCCGATGTGACTCATCCCCTCTCCCCAGCACAAGGGTGTGCAGCACCCTGTAGTACCCAGGATTGCCAGGCCAGAGGGAACTCCCATGCCACAGGGCGTGCACACGTGTTTGTGTACACATGTATGTGTGTGTGCATTAACCCCTTCCTGCCTACTTCTGGGTTCCTCTCCAAGAGTCAGAGAAGTCCAGCGGCCCAGGACATACCTCTTCAGGGACCTGCAGAGAGTAGAGAAGAGGGATATTAAAAACCCCCATTCCTATGCATTATTTCTCACAGCAGCAAAAAGCACTGGAAGGTAGTGGGGGGCAAGGATTTTGCAGGAGGAAGGGGAGAAGGAACATTAACCCACAAAGTGGAAGGCCAAAGTGAAAGGGGAAGGTGTTGAGAACAGCAGATGTGTGACTGGCAGGGCTGAACCAGTCCCAAAAAAGCTGCAGCAGCGCGGGGGGTTACCTCGTAGACGGCGAAGCCGATGGTGTGCATGTCACCGCCCACCCGCCGCTCCCTCCGACGATGCTTCTGCATCAGGGCCACTAGGAAGCTGCAGGCTACCTCGTCATCCCCAGGGTCGTCATCCTCTTCCAATAGTTTGATTTTAAACTGGGGGTTGATCCAAAACGTGGCTGGGAGGGAAGGAGGGACACGTGGATGAGATACCTTGCTCATTTGCTGCTGAGCTGTGTGGCTATCACCCCGGAGTGCAGGTGTGGGATAGAGAAGTACCTGGGTGATTCCTGCAGCCCCCGGCTGTGCTACCCCGGCGCCACGTGCCCTCAAACACCTGCGTGTGCCACCTGCTTAGCTCATCCTTAGTGAGGGCATCAGGGGTTAGGTTACAGATCTCCAACCTGGAAAACTCTCTCATGAAGTCCCGGAAAGACATCCTGCAGGGAGGCAGAGCAGAGGTTAAGGCCATAGCACAGCTGGGGAGGCAGGGAAGGGGAAAGCAAGGAGCTGTGAACCCAGCTGAACAGTTTCTCTATGACCTTCCAAAAGAAATCCTGCCACACAGTGTCCCGCATCAGGCTTCCAATGCTTGCCTAAGCTGGCTGCTCAGTATTTCCACAGGGGATCCCTCTGTTTTTGTGGCTTGAGAAGTATTAAGCAACACTTTCCTATTTTCTCCCTACTTCCAGCCCCTTTCTCAAGGTGCAGCTTCCCCTTGTGACCACCACCAAACAGAGGCAACCTTTCCAGAGAATTAAGTGAGACTAGGATCTTCTACCCAGAGCAGTGACAGCTCATTTAGAGCCTACTGCTGGGCTTGGGGAATACGGGATGTTTGTCCTTCCTAGATATTAATTTGCATTTAGTTGTGCAGAATTTCCTTGAGGGAAAGGAAATCATTAACTAAATCAAGAAAGTTAATGGGCTCTCTAGTAATGGAAATGTAGCTAATAAGGACAAATCAAGTGTTTCAGAAGTTGGTCTGCAGAATCTCTCCACAGTTCCTCTGCTTTTTTTCCTACCAAGGTGGACATAGGAAAATAGAAGCACTTCTCTCCAGCACTCACCAGAACTCTCCATCCTCCATCTTCAATTGCAGGTCTTCTCTGTCACTGGGGTCAATGTTGTCCCACTCAGAGGAACTAGTATAGCAGGAAGGACACAATTAGACAAGGACTTTTCAAGGTGAAAGGAGACATTCTCAGCACTACGCACTTCACAGTTGGCCCTCAATGGACCCCCCTCCCCAATATGAAGGGCACTGCATGCTTTGAACTACCTGATGGCAATGCCATGCAAAAGGTGTCTGCTTGTTTTGTGCACAGTGTCAGCTGCACTGCCAGCAGCAGGACTGAAGTGCCACAGTGAGCTCACCCATCACTCCAGGCTCCGGTCCACTCCACCTGACCCCAGGGGTTCCTGATGCGGATGAGCTGTTCCTGCTG